CTTTCCCTGTGTACTTCTACAGGCCCTGGAGTGATCCACTTGCCACAGAACCCTAAGTCTTGGGCTATTTATTTTCTCCCAGTCATCTGCATTATTACTGCTGCCAGATGCAGAGTGCTGTCTGCTTTTGGTGCCGATTTAAAGACCTCCTGTTTGAGAGTTGAATTTGCACAGTTTTTCATAGGTCTTCAGGCCCTGTGCCACCCTGTGTGCTGGGTCTAACACTCAGGGCCACACTATCTAACCCATGGGGTTTCTAATGGGTCTGTAAATTTGGCAACAGGGGAGCACTGCCCTGCTGCCAAACTTTCAGACCTGTAGGCAGCCCTGCAGGCCAGATGACACAATGCCAGGAGCCAGATCTGGCCCTCACCCCTGGTCTACATCAATAAGGAGGGAGGCACAGGAAGTGGTCTCCGTAGCAGTAGTTCATCTACCACCAGATTTAGCTATTGGCAGCACACTTGCTTGGCTTTCAGAACACTGGTGGAATATCTCAACTGAATTGTCTGCATCAAACATGAGTGGAAGATCAATAGTTCTGTCCTCCAGTCCCTCTTCTCAGATGGGGTTAATTGGGAATACACCTATTTGCTACATGGCTCAACAGCAAGTGTGGGACTTTTTGTGGTGGGGAGGCTTCAGTCCAGGCTCCCCATTATATGTGCACACAATCTTATGGTCAAAAGACTTCCTGTATGTCTGTCTTTTTGTGAGCACCTCTTATGTGGCAGGAACTGTGGAAAGTGAAGCCTACAGGCACCTATACATGTGCCCCAGACATCTGCTCGACACATTCTAATTAGAACGTGTTGGAAAGCATGCTTGTTACCATGCTCCAGCAGCCTCAACAGCATATGTATTCAATGTCCCTGTGCTTCAAAATGGTGTCAGGGGCACTTTAACTGAAGTTCATTGAACAAGCTTTAGTTAAAGCACCCCTGCCACCATTTTGAAGCGTGGGATGCTGAATACCCTAGATGCTGTGGGCACTCTAATTAAAGCATCCCCTACCACCACCACCCCAGAGCACATGTAAAGATGTCCTTAGTTATCATCCTAGTCCTTTTGTGGCATAAACAGTTTTGGTACCAGGTTCTCCTGCTTCTGTCCTTTAGGATCCTTGGGTATTATCGCTAGTCCCAGACCTTTTTGGAGAGGGAGACTACTTAACCTGAGGCTCTACTTTCTTCACCATATTGCCTGGATGCTTAAGGGTTCTTGCAGGTAGAGTAGGATTGTGCAAAGCAAAAAGATGCTTCTCAAGTGTTCTTACCTAGTAGTATGAACCACATTCTCTCCCTCTGATGTCAGGCAAAGGATGCTTCTCCCAGTGATCTTGTACTACTAACATTCTGAAGCATTTATTGGAGCTTAAGCAAACCAAAGCCAATCTGCCTGTCATCTCTGTTCTGGATTCACTCTGCAGCCCCACTGGTTCATCACCCACCAATCGGGGGCATGCCTGTGTTCGCTTACCTGGTTGTCCATAGATTTCTTAAGAGTGTGGTGCAAATTTTTTCCTTGAGCAAGGGATCCAGCTCTGTAGAGGGTTCTGAACTTAGTTATCAAGTCCCTGATGAGGCAGCCATGACAATTAGTTTGCTATTCTGTCTGTTCATAAATAGGTTTCCTTTGGGAGGCAGCCTCCTATAACAGCAAGGTTGTTAAGAACCAAGCCATTACAGGGGATTCTTCTTATACTAACTTTTACGTGGATAAGATGACCCTTAGGACCCACTTGAAACTTCTTCCTAAAGTAGCCTCTGAAGTTCACCTGAATCTGCAGATTAATTTACCCATTTTTTTTACAAAGGCTTGTGCCTTCCCTGAACAGAACAATCCAGGGCCCTTTAACTGGTGCAGCAATTATTAGCCTAGAGAATATCTAAATGAAGTTTAAGCTGTGCTACTTCCGCAGAGCAATCCAAATTTGATATTCCTTCTTCCTTGAACATTGGGTCTTACCATTTTTAAAAAGTAGTTAGGTTTTTTTCTGCAATTTGTTAAACTAGTTAGAAACGAAATGGCAAAAACATGTTGTTATGGTAAATCGCATGAACATCACAGGATGCTGCCCCTAGTGGAGTTACTGGTGGTACTGGTATGCTGTTTATTCTATTTGTAATTCAGCCTTCAGGAGGTGAGGGCCCATATACTTCACCATTGAAATGCTGGGATTCAAGTATGCAGTGTAAGGAACAGCAATTGTGCTTCACCTCCAACTTTATGTAATTGGTCATCTTAGTGCACCTTTAAAATCTGTACCTTCCCTCCCTCCCCCAAGAAACTTTTACTCAAGTCTTTCTGAAATTCTGTTGATAAGAGTGCATTTAGCTTTTTTTTTTAAAGCTGTAAATTAAGTAGTAAATAAACCCAGAGTTTCTATCAGTTTTAAGAAACACTCAAAACTTGTCATCTCAAATGGGGAAAATAACATTGTAACTCTTTAACTGAATTGCATTTCTTATTGGCATCCTTTACAGCAGGCTTGTCTCACTTCCAGGTAGTCAGGGGCTACATGCGTGTGAGTTGAAGTCCTGGGGACCACACACGGAGGGCTGTTAGCTATGTGGTCATCCCACTTTCCCCCAGCTTAGTGTTCCCTGTCGTCCGTCTATGTCATGTCCCTGCCCCCGCCATGCACACAGTAAGGACAGTCTGGCTTCTTGTCTTTCTTGAGAGCAACCTAGGTCTCTACCCCATGGCACCCACAATGTGGGCACCCTAGACACCCACTGCATGTGTGGTTCTGGCACTTCATTCCTCTCCTGTGCTGCCCCAACCCCAGGAGCAGAGACAGGAAGTAGCAAACCAGAGGAAGGTGGGGAGCCCAAAGAACCCCATTGCCCCAGCGGGAGCAACAGTGGGGTTGGCTATGGCAACAGGCCGGGAGCCCACAGAGTGCATGCTAACCCTTTAGAAGGCACAAGCAGCCCAGTGGGCTGCCAGTTGGACAGCCCTGATTTTACAGCTTTTATTAATCTCCATGAAGAAATGTTGGTGATATTTAAAGTCTGAGTCACTATTTTAAATGCTAGATTACAGGTCAGTGGTCTGCTTTTTATCTGTGAAGCCTAATTAACAACACATTTCCTAATGGTTCTACTTACTGTCTTAGAAATAGTTGTCTTAGTTATACTCAACAGTAATTTATAAGTATGAGGGTCTGTTATATTTTCTTCTTTGCAGTGCCCTTATCAAGCAAGTAAACAAGTCCATAGATGGAACAGCAGATGATGAAGATGAGGGTGTTCCGACTGATCAAGCAATCAGGGCAGGTCTTGAGTTGCTGAAGGTAAGTATCTTTTTTTATATTTATTGAAGAGTAGCTAGCACACCTTACTTATTTTTAAAATAGCCATATACAATTTAATTACTTAGTGCTGTCAGCCATTATAGGTTTTTCAGCAGTTATCCCAAAGAACTTGGGACTTTTCAGGGACTTGCCACAGTACTTCCCAGAAATCATTGTATAGCTCTTTATGCATCTGCCTTATAACAAAGTAGGACCCATGTGGAACATTTTAGAGAAAAGTGTGTCAGAAAGTCGAGTATTTTTTGAAGTTTGTGCTAAAAGTGTATTAATGTGGATTTTCTTGTGCTTGCATTACTAATATCTAAATTTTATTTCTTTTTCCTATGTAGTGTTTTTGGATGCACCCATGTATACGTGCATGCTAGCAGTCAGTTGTACTGGAGCATTTGCTTTTAGCACATGTACAAAATTGTGTTGCTATATATTTTTGTATTCAGGGAATAAATACATAATAGTGAGTTGCCTATGCCTGTACCCCTCTCCATCCCCTCCTTCCCCCTCCCCCCTTTCCAAACCTGATTTTTTTAGAGTCAAAAGTTGAATAGTAAAACATTTTATTTCACTAGAACAAGAACCCACCTTTTGGAGATCCAGTTTCTAGTTCATTCTTAATTTATTTAATTATGTATTATATATAATATTTATATTGGCATAATTTGCTAAAGGTACAAGAAGTTGGCTTTTTAATTGAGAATGCAATTATACAAAAATGGGAAAGTTTTCTGTTTTTCTTATTGCTCTCATGGAGCAGAAGAGGAAAGTCTGATAATCTTGTGGTTCACTAATCTCATTTAATTTATTATAAAAATGTCTTTAATTAAAACATTACAGAATTTTTACTCCACTTAATTTTGTTATATCTAACTTCTATAAGGGTACATTGGTCCGCATGGCTTATACAACATATACTTCGTTGGTACTGTGTTTATGATAGTTAAATATACAATGGTAAACAGTGTAACTTTTATATAAATGTCTCATGGGGCACCCAAAATTCAGTTGTGTTCAGAAATTAAAATGCACCAATCCGATAGACTTCAAGGGCACACCCTAACCAGATTATCCAGAGATCTGGCAAGATTCTCTAAGGCCAAGTGGTTTATTCGTATGGAGATTTTGGGATGGGCAGGAATGGCTGTAGATGTTCAAAGGAATTGGTTGGAGAACTTTGTGCATCTAGACAAAGGCAGGAGAAGTCAGGACTTAAGACAGGATGTCAAAAAAGATTAGAGGTAGAATGTAGGATTCAGGGTAGAATTAAATGATTATTAACAGAGGTGACTATGAAGATAAAACTGAAGAGGTGATCAGCAAAGGAGGCTGGGAACGAAGAACAGCTGCAGAAACCCAAAAGAACAGGGTTACAAGAGGAAATTGGGATAGTAGTATTGTGAAATGCAGTAAGGAAATTGAAGAGTAACTTGGAAAGGAAGATGAGTTCTTGTGCTCATCTTTTAGTTACAGCAGAGTGGAGGAATTAGGTGTAGAGGGAAAAAGTTTTGAGCCCACTCAAAAGGAAGACGAGGCATGAGGCAGTTTAACAGAAACAAACAAGGGATTTCTTTGGGATAGGAGAAAGTCTGCCCCTGAATGCAGAAGGAAAGCTACTGGGGAGAGAAAAGAAACTGTAATGTGAGGGATAAAAAGCTCAGAAGGTTTTAAAGACTGAGAAACATATTTGGAGGCTTGTCTGTTGGGCACAGGGATAAGTAGTACACAATCAAAAGATGTTGGATGTTGAAAATGAGGAGACCAGATAAAACATTGGTACGATAATTAGTAGAGAATAAAGGAATGTATGGAAGTGTATGTAAAAAAAAAAAAAAAAAAAAATCTTTTTTTTTTTTAATTGGAGATTTCAGGGCGATGAATCTTTGCTAAGTGTCAGAGGCAGGGGAGAAGGTGAGAAGTAGAGTTACTTGACCAAAAACAGCAATGTATTTTAAAGGTTCAGATATGGCAAGTGAAAATGGCACTTCATATATTTCTGAATTAAAAAGAGGTGTTTAAAAAACAACACCCCCCCCCCCAATCCTAACGTGAATTTTTGTTGTTTGTCAGGTACTCTCGTTTACCCACCCTATTTCATTCCATTCTGCTGAAACTTTTGAATCCCTTCTGGCTTGCCTGAAAATGGATGATGAAAAGGTGGCAGAAGCTGCGTTACAAATTTTCAAAAACACAGGAAGTAAAATTGAAGAAGACTTTCCTCACATTAGATCGTGAGTTGGATATATTATTGTGTTTTGAGGGAGGTTTTAAATTGTATTGGATTTTAGAAGTGATTGGTTTTACTCATGGATAGTGCAGTATTAATCATCCTTTTATAGCAAAATGTTACTTCAAAGAGACTTTATGGATGTTCAGCATTTTAATAAGCACAGCAAAGTGGTTTAAGTCATCTTAACTGCATTAGCTGATGAAGGGTACAAGTAATACAAATAATATGTACAAAGTAGTGTTGACTGACTTAAACTCATGTTGTAGTAGGGTAGAAGTGTTGTCAGTGATGATACAGGAGGTGTACAAGAGGCAAAGATTTTTGTGATATGTATATTTGGGAGAACTGTTGGACAACCTTTTAGACTTCACATGCCCTTCTTCAAGTCTACAAAAAGGAGGCAGACACAAGTTGAGCTAAATAGCAGAGAGAGGACTCCATGCATATTCATTCTGCCTGGAAGGATGGAAGAGGGCTTTGAATAGGAGTGAAGAAGCTATTATTAGGAGCTCTTATATGACAGAAGTGCAATAAAATAGGCAATCTAGTTGGTGGCAGAGTGAGACCATTCAAGAAGGGAGAGGATAGTTATTATACATGAAGTGCAGGGAGATTAGTAGCAATGTTTGTTAAGTGACCATGAGCCATAAAGCCAATGTCTGTTTTGAGTCCAGATTCTTTTTACTCTCCAGTAGGGGTTTGAATTTCTTTTTCCAGGCTTATATCTATATTACTGTACTTTGCAATTACCTCAGTTTGTTTCCCAAGTTATGAAATACATATAGTGCGGAAAAAATTTCTTTCACATTGTCTGGCTCTACAAATGTTAAAGTGCTGGAAAAGAAATTGAATTCTTCAATAACTATTTTGTGAAAATTAAGTGTTTCTTCAGAATAGCTTCTGGTCCTCTTTCTTTTTTAAAAGAAATTAGCAAAATTGCAAAATTTTGATAAATGTTCTGACTTGCAGAATTCTGTATGTATACATTTGCCTTTGTGTATTTTGAAAGCAGATATCCAAATCTAAAAGAGGTATTTGTTTTTGTTTTTAGAGCGTTGCTTCCAGTCTTGCATCATAAAGCTAAAAAAGGGCCACCTCGTCAGGCCAAATATGCTATTCACTGCATTCATGCAATATTTTCCAGCAAAGAAACACAGTTTGCACAGATATTTGAGGTAAAATGAAAAGGGTTTGTTTTGGTTTTTTTACATCTTATACGATACAATTATATTTATACCTTTCTTGTTTTTCTTTCTTTTTTATAGTTGTGTTTAAATAAATTTTATATAGTGGTAGCTAAACTGAAACGCAAGTTCCTTTCCAGAATTAAGTAATTAAATTGGGAAAAATTCTTTTCTCCCTTTATTCCTAAATTAGTAGCCCTTGGTGCAGGTGAGGTACTTTTAAAGGGCATGGCCCCTTTTAAAGCTGAATAGGTTCAGGTTGAATAGAAGAGCTGAAAGGTAAAGTTGGTGTGGCAGCCCCTAGCAAATAGTTTAGTGTGTACTTGGAGTGGGGACAATGAGTTAGAGAAAAATGACATTGTGATTGAAACAGTTTTTGTGTTTGGTGTCCTTTATAACACACTTATATGAGTGGTTCTTAAATAAGTAATCCACTCATATGTTGTTTCAGTTTAACAATACAGAAAGGGTATCCATTAATCTAATGAGTTCATTGTTTCTGCCAGACTTATTAACTCTCACTGGGAGAGAACATTGTTTCAAAAGCAGAATAGATGAGTTGAATAGGCTCATTTAATAGAATTTATCCAGAGGGAAACGGATGAAAAATTATTTTCTTCATGTGGCTAGACAGTTAGATAAATTGATATCTGAATTTGTTGCCTATATTTTATTTTTTAGCCACTGCATAAGAGCCTTGATCTGAGCAACTTTGAACATCTCATTACGCCATTGGTTACCATTGGCCATATAGCCTTGCTTGCACCTGATCAATTTGCTGCTCCTTTAAAATCTTTGGTAGCCACCTTCATTGTTAAGGACTTGCTAATGAATGACCGGGTGAGTACTTTAGCTAGTTGTGCTGCCTTTTGAAAGATTGTGGGGCGGGGGTCCTGCAGGTTATGTATTCAGTAAGTAATACATTAGTATAGCAGTGAAAATTAGTGGCTTGCATGCTTCTATGTGTTTGCATAAAACAAACAGGTTTTGAGGTTGTGGCTTATGTCTTTGAATAGGCTGTAGAAAACGAGACACTATCTGCAATTTTTCATATTGTTGCATCACAGCACGTGAATGCCTGCTCCTGTTAAACCTAATGGATACAGTCCTTGCTGATTCAAGCAACATAGGAGTTCTGCCATTTATTTCAGTGAGGCTAGGGCTTTGCCATGTGGGTGAGCCATTTCATTCAGTCTGTGGGGCTCTTGGGAGCATATGGCCTGCTGCCAACTTACTGGGTATGGAACCCTGCTGGAAGCTGTGGGGGGACAAATGTTGTGGGGAAGGAAGAACATGAGCAACTGCTTGCTCTGCCACCAGGTCCAAATCCAGATCCAGCCTGCAAGGCACCCTCTTTGGTCCTTGGCCAGTCCATGGGGCTGGCCAAGCTTGACAGCCATACTTTACAGGAGTGTGGAGCTCAAATCTCCAATTCTACTTGGGGATATACATTATTTAGGTATAATGTATTGTTTGAAAATAAGCCAACCAGTATTTGGTAATTTTGTATGAATGCTTTTACAGATCTTTTGATCCCTGAAAATCAAAAAGTTATGCCAGTGGTGTGTGACCCATGGGGCATTTAGCCCCTGGCCTCTTAGAAACTGGACAGCCATGGTTTATGCTCTAAAGCAAGAATAACAAGGGTACTGGTAATCCCAAAGGTGTACAGTTAACTTCAGTTTATTGCTGGGTTTCTCCCCCCCCCCCCCCCCCCCCCTTTTACAAATTAAAATGGGTATACAGAAACATTCACTTAAAACTAATATCTTAGTGTAACAAGATGTAAAATTTGATTTAGCTTCCAGGCAAAAAGACAACTAAACTTTGGGTTCCAGATGAAGAAGTGTCTCCCGAGACGCTTGTTAAGGTGAGTAAACGTGTTGATTCACAAATATACATGAGAGAAAAAAAAATGTCCTGTGACTCTAAAGATGTCTGGAATTGCTAAAACTGCCAGTAATAATTGTGGAGTGTGGTTCTTAGTTTCCTTTAGATTTGCCCCTTGATCTTGACATTTTAAATATTTTTTAAACTTAAAAATTTCATCAAGGTGGATATTTTGCCTTCAGTCAGGATGTCTGATTTGATTTACAGAATTGTTTGTTTTTATGCAAATAAGATTAGGTATATGTATACTACACTGAACTTTAGTATTTTCTTTGCTTTCACATGTAACATGGTTTTGTAATTTCCCTTTGTTGCTTCTCCAGTTTGGTTCTCCATTTCTTTTTCTAAAGATGGAATGTTCATTGAATATCAAAGTTACATCACAGTATAAGCTTACTTTTCTCTTTACTGTAGCTGGTGTGCTTGATACTAGGTTCTTCCATCTTTCATTTCTCCCATAATTAGACTTAATTATAACAGTCACTTTTTCCTTCCTTTTTAGTTACCTTTTGGTTGAAACGTGGAATTGAGGCATTATGATAACTCCCTTTTTTTCACCCTCATAATCTTGTTTAACTTTTTTTATATTTAACTCACTCTGCTGTTGCTTAGTGCTTCAGTTTTTTACAGCTTGGCATAAAATTCATTAGTAGATAAAGGAGACATTAGTTCCACAGTATTTTGTACAACCTCTGGCTAGAGGGTCGTACCCAGAGAGTTGTAGCGGATGGGTTGGTATCGACCTGGAAGGGTGTGGGTAGTGGGGTCCCGCAGGGCTCAGTCCTTGGACCGATACTCTTTAATGTCTTCATCAGTGACTTGGACAAGGGAGTGAAGTGTACTCTGTCCACGTTTGCGGATGACACAGCTGTGGGGAGAAGTGGACACACCGGAGGGCAGGGAACAACTACAAGCAGACCTGAACAGGTTGGACATATGGGCACAAAACAACAGAATGCAATTCAACAAGGAGAAACGCAAAGTGCTGCACCTAGGGAGGAAAAATGTCCAGCATACCTACTGCCTAGGAAATGACCTGCTTGGTGGAACGGAAGCGGAAAGGGATCTTGGAGTCTTAGTGGACTCCAAGATGAACATGAGTCATCAGTGTGACGAAGTCATCAGGAAAGCTAATGGCATTTTATCGTGCATCAGCAGATGCATGACGAACAGAATCAAGGAGGTGATACTTCCCCTCTATTGGGCGCTGGTCAGACTGCAGTTGGAATACTGCGTGCAATTTTGGGCGCCGCACTTCAAGAGGGATGTGGATAACCTGGAGAGGGTCCAGAGAAGGGCCACTCGTATGGTTAAGGGCTTGCAGGCCAAGCCCTATGAGGAGAGGCTAGGGCACCCGGACCTCTTCAGCCTCCGCAAGAGGAGGTTGAGAGGCGACCTTGTGGCTGCCTATAAGTTCATCATGGGGGCACAGAAGGGAATTGGTGAGGCTTTACTCACCAAGGC